TGGAGAACATGCTGTTCCTCCCTGGTGTATACAGAAAATGCTTCAGATGGGGCAAGGAAATGGTGGACTGAGGCTGCAAGGTCACAGATCTTTAAACAGCAGTTCATATCAAGGTCAAAAAAGGCTGGATCTACTGCACAGGCCTAAACTCTTCCTCAGTCTGTCCCTGGAATAGATGCTCATGGGTGCCAAGTGAAGGGTGAGGATAAACTTCCAACTCCTCCTCAGCAGCAAGTGCTTTCCCAGTGGAGCTGGGATTATCTCACAGATTATGCCCCAAAAGAAAACAAACTTGGCAAGCCACTGAAAAAAAATGCTACTGCAAGCAGCTCACAGTCACTGATTTTGCCTTCACCCAGCTGAAAGTTGTCTTCCAGAATTTGCTGCTGAGTTTCTGTAGGAACTGTACTGCCCATAATTTGTAAAGAAAAGGGGGGTGAAACAGCATGAAAATAAAAAAATACACCCTGACCTTTCCATATAGCTCACCTCACACCCCATATTGGGCTTCATATTTGTGGACAAAGCCTAAAAGATTGATTGCATGATTGCACAAAAAGGATTAGTGCATAGAAAGTCATAGAATTTTTAAAGTTGGAAAAGACCTCTAGGATCATAGAGCCCAACCACAACTATCTGCTTTAAAAATAACCCCCCAACCAAACCATCACACTAATCACAGGGCATATGAAAAGATAGCAGGAATTCATTACTGTTACGTTCTAATGGGCTGAGGAATCCAATTACTCATTTGTGCCCTTAATAAAATCTTATCCAGAAGTCTCATTCTCATGTAGGAGTAATCCTCTCAGAAATAATGTCCTTCCCTTGCTGCTGGTTGGAGTGTTGTGCACCCAGGCAGGCAGTGTCTCCTCAGCAGCCTCCTCATGAACTGTTTATCATGTGCATGCTTAAAATGTTCTATTTTCAATGCAAGAAATGCCACCCTCCTTCCCCTCCTTCATACAGAGTTTTCAGCTCACATCCCCACCAGGGCATCACATCTTGCCACACAGATTTTTACCCAACAAGAGGCCATAATAAGTTCTGGACCCACACTAATTGCATTTTTTAAATAATGCTGTTTGTTGTTCCATTATATCACACTCACAAGATTGTATTTGAATAACCAATAATTTTAATAATCCCCCAGAAAAGTTAATTTCCAACACTGTAGCGCAAATGGTTCAACATCTGCTCTTGCCTGCTCCATGGAGTTTGATAAATGGCATCACTTACATAATATAAATGGGAATTGCTTGGTTACAAATCTGATGTGCATAAGCTGCCTCTGGTGCATGCGGTTTCTCCAACATTCAAAAAATCCCATTTCACGTGTCACAGTTTACCCACTGCTGTATTATCTCATTAACTATCTCTTCCCAAAACAGACTGGGAATGCAAATCCTGCCAAAAATCCACAGATTTAGGGCACTTACAAGGGTTGCATAGCATGCCCCAGAAGTTGAGCTTTTATATTAACAGATGCACAGCATCCTTGGCATTTTTTCTGGTCACAATGAACTGGAAAAATACAGCACCCAAATGTGGTGACAGGAGCAGGGTGCTGAGACAGAGGCTGGACACAGCTGGAGATGTTCAGCTACAAACCCAAAACAGACTGAGAATGCAAATCCTACCGAAAATCCACAGATTTAGGGCACTTACAAGGGCTGGATAGCGGCAGGTTCGCAATGGTGGCTGAAGCCAAATGTTGCAACAGGCAGAACCCAGCTTTTCCTTGGTGCCCTCCCAGCCCTTCAGCATCCTTCTGCTTAGCCCTGCATTTCCAAAACAATTCCCTCTGAATATCCAGTGAAAGCTGTTTGGTGCCTGAGAGGAGCACCAGCACAATGTGAGTATGAGCAAAGACTCTGGGAGCTGCAAGGGACCCACCTTTAGTGTTTCTGCCCAGGACTCCTGCATCCTACAAAAGGGTGCAGGAAAATCCCACATTTTAGCACTCAGACCTAATATCTCCTGTAAATCCAGCCCTGGCAGCAGGCCAGGGAGAGGGAAGGGCCAGGTGAATTCCATGGCAGCTTTCCCTGTGCCATGGCACAGTCCCTGTCTGTGAGGAGGGTGGACATGCAGCCAGCTGGGATGGGGGCTCCTGGTGTAACAAGAGGCACAGGCAGCAAAGCAAAGGAGAACAAGCCCTGGCAGGATGGATTTAATAAACCCAAACCCAGAAAACACAATTGCTAACTCGCAATGTCTGAAAAAACAAGAGACAACCAGCCACAAAGGAAGCAGAGGCATGTGAGGATGTCCTCCCCTAAAGAGAGACATATATCCTGCTGCTCAGACAAGGGATTTCTCAATGAGCAGGCAAAAAGAAAATAGAAAATGAAAAGATTCTCCTAGATTGCAAACACCCAGCCTCCAGCTGGACTGAACACCATGCAGTCTATGTTTGATTTGTGTTTTAAATGAGCTGCAACGCTGCTACCCAAAACAGATCCCTCAGAGATGAATGCAAGCAGGGAGAAGAGATTTCTACCCTGCTTCCCAGTCAAATACCATTTTGTGTGATCTGCACCAAAAATAAAAGCGCCACTTTGCCAGACTGGAGTCTCCATCTCCTAGCAACACGCCCCACCCAGCCTTTCCCTGAGACCCTTCAGCACAGCTCCCTTCCCCCGTGTCTGCAAGTGAGGAGCCCATGGTACACATACACACACATAAATGCAGGTTCTCAAAAGCCAGAGGGAAATTAGGCAAACCTTCTCAAGGCTGAGCCCTGGCGCTGATTTCCAGGAGCATCCCAGGCTCTGCTCTCAGCTCTCAGCAACAGGGGAGAGGGTGGAAGCACTGACACACCTGGGGACATCCTTGCTGCCAAGCAAAACCTTTCTGTGAGTCCCCTGCAAACCTTGAGCCCCCAAAATATATCCTCTAAGTTAAAAAACTGATTAATATTAATTTGATGTTTGTAATAGACAGCTCCTATGTGTCAAGAGGCGGTGGAAACACTCAGGGCATCAGCTTGCTCTGAGATTTAGTGAAAAATCTCTTTTCCAGCTTTCAGGAAACAAGCAGGACAGTAGAACAGTGTGCATCTCCATGCAGTAACTCTTGTTAAACATATTAGTTTAACCATTGAACAAACACCACTGGAGCTCACACCTCTTTGTGTGGTGGTTCATTCAGACACAACCAGGGCTTGCCAGGACTGGAAGGGGAGATCAAACAAACCCCAAAGATAGAGGAGAACTGCCCAGAGCTTGCAGGGTAGAGGTTTGCATGGGCTGAGAGCTTTGCAGCTGCCTGGAGAAGGCAGAGCTTTCTCAGGCATTCCAGGAGATTGCAGCATTGTATCTTATCCAGAGTTTGCTCTTTGTAAATGCTGTTTCTCTTATGCCTTCATGTACATCAGTTGTTCTGTTTGAACAGAGATGGTTTCATTATCCTACAAACGGTTTTTTGTTACAGCAACCTTCCTGTTCTACCCCCAGCTTATTTTAGTTATTTATGTTATTGGACTTCTTGAATTAAGCTGCTGTTTTATTATTTATGATAGCACAGTTGCATAGGCTGGTCATTATTTTATCAGGCACCCTGTGTTTACACACACTGTTCCAGCTTCCCAAACGGCTCTTTATTACCTTGGAGCACAGATTGCATTTGCCACTGCCTTCTGCTACTTTGTGCAGCTGAATGAGAAACAAAGAGCTACAAATTAACACTATTAGAAAGTGGCAGGACCACTCTCCAGATAGCCTAGGTGCCGATTTTGGTGTTCAATCATGCTGCTTTTTTGGGATGAGCATCCATTCTTTTTTTTAATGTAAACAATTCCTGTGGCCCAGACAGAGTTTATGTTCTACCCAGGGAGTTGTCACTGCTCACAGGGAGGGTGTACCCCGAGCACAGTGCCACCAAAGGAGGCTGTCACCCCCAGGCAATTGAAGGTGCACACAGAGGACAGTGCCACCGGAGGATGATGTCCCTTGTGGCAGAGGCTGCTCTGAAGGGCTGTCACCCCAGGCAGGTGTGTGACAATAGAGAATGTGCCCCCCAAACAGTGCCACCTGGGAAGGGTGTCACCCCCAGGCAGGTGCTTCTCTAAAAGCATGTCACCCCCAGGCAGGTGCATGGCAACTGAGAATGTACCCTCTGAACAGTGCCACTTAGGGAGGATGCCACCCCCAGCAGGTGCACGGCAATAGAGAATGTACCCCGAGTATAGTGTCACTCGAGGAGGGTGTCACCCCCAGGCAGGTGAGTGTCATAGAGAATGTACCCCGAGTACAGTGTCACCGGAGGAGTGTCACAGCCTGGCAGGTGCTTCTCTAAAAGGATGTCACCCCCGGCAGGTGGATGGCAATAGAGAATGCACTCTCTGAACAGTGTCACCTGGGGAGGGCATCACCCCTGGCAGATGGGCAGCAATAGAGAATGTAACCCCCCGAACAGTGTCACCTGGGGAGGGTGTCACCCCCAGGCAGATGCATCTCTAAAGGATGCCATGCCACCCGCGGCAGGTGCACGGCAATAGAGAATGTACCCTCTGAACAGTGTCACCCAGGAAGGGTGTCACCCCCGGCAGGTGCTTCTCTAAAGGATGCCACGCCACCCCCGGCAGGTGCGTGGCAATAGAGAATGTACCCTGAGTACAGTGTCACCCGGGGAAGATGTCACCCCCGGCAGGTGCATGGCAATAGACAATGTACCCTCCGAACAGTGTCACCCCGGCAGGTCCCTCTCTAAAGGATGCCATATCACCCGCGGCAGGTGCGTGGCATTGCGTGGCCACAGAGAAGGCGCCCCGATCGGTGCCACCCGCGGAGGGAGGGCGTTGCCGCGGCCGGTGCCGCCCCGGTGGGTGTGTCGCGCAGGTGTCCCCGCGGCGGGCGCCGTCCGTGCCCTCCCCGCGGCCGCACCTGGCGGCGCCGGGCGCTCCCCGCCCCCGGGCCGGGCCCGCCGCGCTCCGCTCTCGCCGCTCCCCGCCCCTGTGCCGGCCCGGCCCTGTGCATTGTGGTCCGGCGGCGGGGGGCGAACATGGCCGAGAAGCAGAAGCACGATGGGCGGGTGAAGATCGGCCACTACGTGCTGGGGGACACGCTGGGGGTCGGCACCTTCGGCAAAGTCAAGAGCTGAGTACCGCGGCCGCGGGCGGGGCCGGGCCGGGCCGGGAGCGCCCCTCGCCGCCGCCTCCCTCCTCCCGCTCCCGCGGCCTCCGCGCCGGCATCGCTGCCTTCCCCGGGCTCCGCTGCCTTCCCCGGGCTCTGCTCCCTTCCCTCGGCTCCTCTCCCTGGGCGGCATCCCGGGGGGAGCGGCTGGCGGAGCCGTGCCCGGGGCGCACGGGCGGGGATGCGGCGGCGGTGGCGGCGGGCGGGCGGTGGGAGATGCAGCGCTCGGTGCTCCATGCTCTGGGAGATGCAGCGCTCGGTGCTCCGGGCTGTCACAGCCCCCGAGCCCGTGCTGCGAGCAGCACCCACCCGAACTTGGCTACCGCGCTCGGAGGGAGGTGATGGGGAGGCTGGAGGCGCACCGGAATCCTGCCCCTCGGTGCCGGGAATGCGCTGCTGTCCTTCCCCAGGACCCGCAGGTGCTCCGGGGTGCTCCTGGAGCCGGAGCCGAGGCGGTTCGGTCCGAGCATCTCCCCGCGGACCGAGCGCGCCCCGCGGGATGGAGGGGCTGGGATGCACCGGCTGCGCCTGCACCTGGGGAAGGGAAGGGTCCAGAGAGACCTGAGAGCGCCTTCCGGTGCCTAAAGGGGCTGTAACAGAGCTGGAGAGGGAGTTTTGGCAGGGGCTGGGGCAGAGGGAATGGCTTGGTGCTGACAGAGGGCAGGGTTAGGTGAAATATTGGGGAGAAATTGTTCCCAACAGAAACTACTAGTAATAGCTATTAGTTATAACTATCTGTATTGTGTTGTAAATAATCATGAATTAATTATTTCAGTCTCAGCTTTATCATCATCAATGAAATCAGTGTTTTATTCATATAAATATATTTTGTCATCCTTAATCCTTGTGGACCAAGTTGCGCGAAGATTCCGTTGTAATAACTTAATCAAGCGCTTCTCTCAAAAAGGCTTCCAGTTTGCAAATTCCATTTTAAAACTAATTCATTATCAGCTACCTGCAAATAAGAGACATTATGAGTCATTAGAGTGTCTCAACATTTGAAATTGTCTCAAAATGAGAAATTGTGCGGGTGGGGAGGCACTGGCACAGGTTGTCCAGAGAAGCTGTGGCTGCCCCATCCCTGTAAGTGTTCAAAGCCAGGTTGGACAGGGCTTGGAACAACCTGGGATAGTCAGAGGTGTCCCTGCCCATGGCAGGGGGAGGGATGAGATGAACTTTAAGGTTTCTTCCACCCCAAACCGTTCCAGGATTGCAGGACGGGGGCTCCACACAGGGATTCCTTGTCCAGCCATGCCAGAGCAGCCAGCTCATATCCTGAGGGCTTTGCTTTACCTGGCTCTCAGGTTTGCAAATATTTGTATTTCCTTTTTCCCCCTGTGGATTCTGCTGCCATTACGTGCAAATTTCAGTTTTTAAACAAGATACTAAAAAACCAGAAAACCAATAAAATTCAGTGTCTGAGCTGAGTTTCCCAGTTGGAATTTGGTTTAGCTCGAGCTGGGGGAGCAGCTCTCCCACTCAGTGTCCCCCCACCCCAGTGGGATGTGGCTGGGCAAAGGGGTGCTGTGCCTGCCCTCAGTTCCTGGAGTTTTAAAATAAACCCAAATTGACAGCAGATGAAAGAAACCACCATGACCACTGCAGCTAAGTCCACCTGTGGCCATTAATCACGCCCCTAAAAATATATTGCTGTGTTTAATCCCAAACCACAAATTTACTGTCTAAAGAATTATCAGAATAAATACTTCTAACAGTAAGGACCATTTAAATCACTCCTGTGTACTAGCAGACCTCAAAACTTCTCCAAAGGCAGGTTTTTTCCTTGCAGACCAATTTAAACCTGCCAACAATAGCCTTTTTTATCTTTAACTAGCACAAATACCCCCTACCCCACATATGACCCGAGTGTGGTAAAAACAGACATTTTCCAAAGAAATATTTCAAATAACTTAAAAGAGATTTCCTAGCTCAAAATCCTTTACAGGTGAGTAGTACCCTTTATATGGTTTTTTTCCCTTAATATTTTGCCTACAATTGACAGATGAAGTTTGTGCTTGAGACTGGGAACTGAAATGAAGGAATGGAATCTCCCATTTATATAGAATTACAGCATTTTAGTCGAATGAGTTTTAGAAGAACTTGTATTCACCTGAGAAAAGTAGAGGTTTTTGTTGATTGATTCAAGCATTGTGTGTTGGGTATAATAATTGCTTTTTCAGGGAGAAGTCAGGTGCAATCAGTGACATTTCTTGTTGCTGATGTGTTTTCTTCAATTTCTGCCTTGCACAAGGTTTTGGTTTTGGTGCTTTTTATTGCCTTACTCGTCAAAGTTAAGAAATCATAATTTACAGTTGTTCAGGATTATTGTTATTAGGGACATAAGAAATGGCAATGAAAGGGAGGATTTAGTGACAAGGGGTACAAACCAGGGTTTCAACTCATGGCTGGAGCTGAGGAGTCACTTTGAGCCATCAGGGGTCAGAGACACAACAGAAAATATCCCTGACTGCCTGGGTCATCAGGGAGCTGATCCTCCTAAAAACTGGCTGAACACTGCAAGAAACTCTTTTGTTTTAAGCCCATTCAGTTTCTTGATCTCATTTACAGAAAGTCCACTCAAGGCACGCAGGGGAGCAAAGAGGCTGGCAGCTGAGGGCAGGATTTTGGTGCTGATACTGAAATTCCATCTGGAAATGGGAATGAGGACCCAGCATCTGTTAGAAGAGAGGAAGGTGGCAGGAGCTGGTGTGGTGGATGGACAGGAGGTGTCATGTCAAGACTTGAAGTTACCACACAGCATTTTTACCAAATACTGTTATTTTCCCTCTCCTCCAGGCCAAGGATAATTTGCAGATGATGGAATTATTTGCAGAAAAAAAAAATTCTAATTTGCAGAAAATCCGCATAATTTGCAGAAATAGAACTGTGGAGAAGGTCTTGGATTTGGGAGTTTAACAAAGCCTTGGAGGAAGGAGGTGGCATCTCCTTCCCAGGGGATTGGCAAGAACAGATGAGACAAATTGTGTTTGTGACAAATTTGTGGGCACATCCCACCCTTTTGGGTCCCCAAAAGCTCTGCTGTGACCACAGTGAGGTTCACAGTACTAACCCAGATATTTTCTCTGTGTGATGCCACCCATGGCATCCTTGGTGGCTCCTTTGCCTGCCTTGTTTGCCACAAAAGTGCCAGATTTGTGGTCCCTCCAGGACTTGGGTTGTGTTTGTGTCACCTCCATGGGCTCCAGTCGGGATCAGATCCCATTTTTCCCAGGCACTGTGGCATTGCTGCTGAAAGACAAACTTGGTGTCAGAAGGAAGATAAACTAAAGGAGGCTGAGCAGAGGAAGGACAGCGAGAGGCTGGGACAGCACACAAGCAGAATTAATGCAGCATTGCTAAATATATGCTTGGGATGGATTTCATTTTTAACTTGGGGCTGAGATAAGGGCCAGCAGAGCTGATAGGGAAAGGAGTTTCCTCACCCCTCCACAGTCAGAGCTTCTACATTGCCCTGAAGCGTTTGCAAAAATGTTAACTGCTTGTGCTGCCTGAGCTGGTAGGATAAAGAAAGTGATGCAGAAATCCATGCTGTCAGGGGGGTCTATTTATTATCTGTGCTCATGGTGCTATAATCACTATTCCTCCTCTTTTTTTTGTTTCCTTTTATAAAAGTAAGTGAATGTCAGGAGTCTCCTTTGCACTTCTTGAATCTGGGGAGGCAGTGAGAGGGAAGGAGGTCCTCACCTTGGGGTGAGGATCCTTTTCCATGCCTGTGGAAGACCTGGGATCTGCCCCTTACTTTTGGGATGATCCTGGGTTTCAGAGACAATGACTCTGTGAGCAGAAGGGGGGTTGTTCATACTGCCCATGTCTAAATTCCTGCAGTCCAGAGAGCCTTCAAAGGCTTAAAAGTCTCCCACCACATAGGAAATTGTGTTCCCTCTTTGTCTCCCTCTCTCACAGAGTTCAAGGAGGCTTAACAAGTCACTGGGGACAGAAACAATAATATCTCTGTATCTAATGCTTACTGTAAGCAAAAGATGGATTACAAAACAGGCTGTTTATTTTTAATTATTAATGTGTTTGTGCTAGCGAACCTTTGCAGAGTTACACATTGTTTGTCACGGATGGGAAAGGGGAAGAACTGTTTGGCAATAGTATTAAAAACAATAATTATTCATTCTGGGCATGGCCTTTTTTTTTTTTCCCCCCTAGTGTATAATAAAAAAATTTCAAAGCATATGCTGAGGCAAGGCCAGAAAGCGTTGTCCTGAAACAAAGAGTGGTAGAAATCAGGGTTTTCCTCCTAGTTCAGTGAAAAAACTTTGCTTTGCCTCCCTGCAGCACTGCCCTGCTCTCCTCTCCCTGAGGATTCACCAGGGAAAATGCCTCCCTGGACTATTTACAGCCCTCTGAGGAATTATCTGCCTCCTCCAGCCCTCAGCTAATCCCTAAATTGCATCTCTGCTGCAAAGCTGAGTTTATTTTCATTCCATCATCTAGTAGTTTTAAGTATTACGAGGAATAAAATGGACATGCAAAGTGGTGCTTTAATTTTCAAGGGCAGTCAAGTGTTTTATTTTTAGGATGCTCTTCTTGAGGAAAGAATCTCTGGCAGGTCTTATCTGGTGGCTAATAATAGTGACCTGGTGTGCCCTGGGTGCTGCTGCCCTGCCCTTCTCACACCTCCTGCTCACCCCGGGTGCTGCTGATCAGCTCATTAGGGCTGCCAAAATTACAGCCTCTAATAATGTAATAACAAGGTTTGCTGGCAATAATTAACTCCTTGCACTGCAAGGGTGATGCTGGTAATTAGAGAGCACAAATATTTACTGTAAGCAGGTTTTGCTGTGCAGGCTTTAGGAAACCATCCGTGTGTCCCTCTGCTGAATATCATGTTGGAAAATACTGAGAAGAGGAAGCTCGTTCTGAGAACCCTTTTTGGGTATAAACACCACGTTTTTAAGCTCTTTCTGCTCTCAATTTCAATATTAATCTTGCTTCCTTGGAAGCTTTTTATTTTTTTTGGTGTGGTTTGTTTATTGATAACAAATGGATCCCATGCTGAATTAGTTTCACATCATTAATTACAATTCCCCCGGTGACAGTGGGGCTGCTCCTCCCAGTTTATGGGTGTGATTTTCTCCCTGAACACAGGAGATAAACATCAGCATCTCAATGCACACAGTGCATTTTTTAAAAAAAAACTCTATTGAAGTTTCCATCTTTCCTAAAAGCAGAGTTTGCTCCTGCAGTCCAGCAGTGTTCCTGCAGCTTGTCATCAAAGCAAGAAGCACGCTGGGGGAAGTATAAATAGAAATTCATTTTAGTAATGCAAATCCCGCAGTCCTATTTTGGGCAAGGAAAATCCCCATACCATTTTTAAAAAAAAAAAGTGTGATGGTCTAGTTTTAAGGCTGGGTTTATGAGGGATTTTGTCTACCAGTGTGTTATGGTGGAGATTCTCCTCTGCCATTTAAATATATCTGTTTCTGATTAATCTAGCTTTTACATGCTATAAATCCTTGCAAATTAGCTTGGGGTATGACCTCCTCCAGCAACTCACTCTTTTATTTAGTGGAGTGCTTTTGGCAGATAAGCCCCCTCTCTTCTGCCTTCTATGACTCCACTGGGAAAACAGTGAAGAGACAAAAACTAAAATATTTCACACCCTCATCTTCTGCTTTTTTTCCCATTCAGAAGTGGTTTTTTGCTTATAGTGCCCTAAACTTCCTGTGTGAACCTTGCTGCAGTGTTTAGTGACTTTGCAATGCTCTCATTGCACTGTTTAGTGACTTTGCAATGCTCTCTCTCTCTCTCTCACAGTTGGTGAGCACCAGCTGACGGGGCACAAAGTGGCAGTGAAAATACTGAACAGGCAGAAAATCCGCAGCCTGGATGTGGTGGGGAAGATCAAACGGGAAATCCAAAACCTGAAACTCTTCCGGCACCCCCACATTATCAAACTGTGAGTACCCTCCCTGCCACGTGGGCAGCTGCTCCTCTCTGCACAAAGACCTCTCTCACACACCTGGCTGGGCTGCAGGAGATGGATTAGGGCACTAAAAATTGGGTTTGGTCAGGTTTTTGTGTGTTAGGTGATCCGCTGGAACAGGTTTTCCAGAGAAGCTTCCCCATCCTTGGAAGCGTTCAAGGCAAGGTTGGATGGGACTTTAAACAACCTGGGGTAGTGGAAGGTGTCCTTGCCCATGGAATTGGATGGTCTTTAATGTCCCTTCCAACCCAAACCATTCCAAGATTCCATGAACTGCAGCATGGTCAGGCTCTGAGAGTGAAACCTTGGCCCCCACTCAATAGGATTTATGTTTTAATGCGCTGATTAGCCAGAGCTTAAAAGAACATTTTTTTTTCCTTTCAAAATTTATTATTCAGACATAAGTTTTGAAAGTCTCCACTTTGATGAACCTGAGTTGGGGTCGTAAATCAGCACCTGCACTGCAGCCTCTGGGATTCCTGCTCAATCCCCAGCTTGTGCAGCCAGCCCACATTAATGAGGCACTCGATAATATCTTTGGCATTCCTATAAAAGAAAGCTGTTGAATGGTAACTGCAAGGGTAAGTTGACATTTAGGTCAGCCTTAAAACTGGCATGAGATATAGCAAATACCTGGGACTTAGAGGCAAGGGAAAACAAATTCTCTCTACAGTTAAATAACTAACCATGCAGCAACTGTTGACTTTAGAGTAACTTCACAGTTCCATGGATTTATTGGAGAACAGATTGGTATTATTTCATGAAAAAAGCACCAGCAAGACTCCTCAGCTGTGTGCCCAGCATCCTGCAAGTCAAGTCCTGTTCACACATTTGTCCAAGCAGTAAAAATTAAATCCAGTTCGACAATATCTGTGTCCTGTGATACATGTTGCATTCATGAAATACAGTGATAAAGATGTGAGGAGACTGGGGCACACAAACCTCTTTCAATAAGTTTTTAAATGTATATAAAAGAAATATTGGGGCAATTAACAGTACCTTAGATGTCTGGGCCCAAAGCTCTTCAGAAAAATGAGGTTGATGGTGTTGATTTTTATGGGAGTATCCCACATTCCCTTGCCAGCCTCTTAAAAATTGCTTTGCTTCAAATTACAGTCCTGTAAAAACTAATGAAATTCATCTGAAAAAAACCCCCAAAACAACACAACAAAACAATGAATCTGAAATAGAAGAGAGGGAGGTCCCAGCTGGTGCTGCTGTGAGTTCCTGGGGCTGCATTGACTTCAGCTCATCACTGGCAGTTTGTTCCAGCTGGGACACTGAAATGTCTTTGCAGCACTTGGGGATCATTTTGAAGGAAAATGGAGAAAAAATCTGCAAGTTGAAGGTGATACTCTGGGTTTTTCCACCCATTCTAGAGAGATTTAATATTTGAAAAATAACTTCAGGGGGTCTCCTTTTTGTTTCTGTACCTGTCCAGAGGAAGTTCTCTCTAGTGCCTAGAGCTCTTTATCTCTTTTTTGTCTTGATATAAGGGGAACCACATGGATCCTCTCCTTGCCCCCAGCTAACCAGGACTTCATTTCTAAAGCTGTTGTTGCAGATCTTACCCAAAATGGAAATTTGAAAGTCAGGGCAGTCCTAAACGTGGTAAGATTGCCTGGCAGATATTTCAGAGGATTATTTAAAGGGCTGAAGGGAGATCATAGGTCTGAAAAGAGGTCCTTCCACAGACAAGTGAAAGGTTATACTGGAAACAAGAGACAACTTTTCAGGAGTGGAAAGCGGTTACAAATGCAAGATCTCAACAAATCCTTATTTTGATGTGGAATTAATAATCTGTTCAAAAGCATTTCCCTGTTCCTAATTATGTATTTTTTTTAAATCTGCTTGTGTTTTTGAAGGTACCAGGTGATCAGCACACCAACAGACTTCTTCATGGTCATGGAATACGTGTCCGGGGGGGAATTGTTTGATTACATCTGTAAGCACGGACGTGTAAGTGCCAGTCCCCAGCCAGCCCCAGCCCTTGTGTGGGGAGAGGAGGGAGTTCAGGAGCAAAATCACTGCTCAAGGGAGCACAGTTAAGGTTAAGGCCCAAAACAGAAGTTGCTTCACAGCAACCCCATCTGGGGTGTCTCGTACTGGCTCGCACAAAACTTGGGTGTGATTTTTTGCAGTGGTCTCTGGGGGATTTTTGACCCTCAAACAAAAATATCCAAGGTAATGTGTTGCTTGGGGCAAATATTTGGAAAAGTGGCTTATTTTTGTGATTTTAGCTATGGGCTGCCTGTCAAAACCCCCACAATCAGCAGCAAATTTATGGCATGAGAGAGGAAGACTACTTGGTGTGGTCTCCAGTCCAGTCATTCACCTCTCCCAGACCTCCCTCTTGGTTCCATGTCAGGCTCTTTGAAGGCTTTTCAAGGATGTGGCTTATCTGAGCAACATTTTCAAATGGCAGCAGTCCCACTTGGTGTAAATCACCTGTGAAATGTGAGATTTTGGTTACAAGGAAAACTGCTGGTGTCTGCCCCATGGAGCAATTGGAGGACAAGGAGGTAAAAACAGGCCAAAGTGGACGTCCAGAAAAAGGGTTCAGGTGAAGGATCAGCCCATCACATGTTCCCTTTCTATGCTACAAAATCAATAAATTCACTGCAGATTGGGTTAGATTAGTGTAGTGGTCAATGGAGCTGACTCAGTTTTCTTTTCTATGTACAGTTCTGATTTCTCACACATTTTGCCCATCAAGATCTTTTCAGTGACTGATTTGGATCTTTTCTGAACTTCTGCATTCATAAATTCAGTTTTTCATGAAGGGAATGTTTTGGAATGCATCAGTTAAAATAATAATTGAAAATACAGTTTCTCTGATATAGCTCATACAGCTTTATTAGCTTTATAGATAATTAAAATCACAGTGATATCCAGCTTCACCAGAGGAAGTCCATGAGGAATTGCTCCCAGCAGCATCCTCTGTAGTGTTTTGTCCAGCCTGGATCTGTACCAGTCCCGTTGGGCCAGCAGGCCACAGTCTGATAGGTGCCACCTTTAAATTCTTGTTGACATCTCACCTCAACTGAAGTCTCACCTTTCATCTCGGGGCTGTATCATTTTCAAACGCTGGCACATTGTAAAATGCAAGGGTGAGAAATCTGCTTTATTTGCTTCTTCTGCTCTCAGGCAGGCTGGGATTTTCCCTCTGCACTCTGGAAGCTTTTTTGGCTCCTTGCTAAGTGCAGCCTTCCCCTGGCTGAGTGCACACCAAGCCCTGTGCTGTTCCCTCTGCTGTTCCCACAGGTCGAGGAGGCAGAAGCTCGACGCCTTTTCCAGCAGATCCTGTCTGCAGTGGATTACTGCCACAGGCACATGGTGGTGCACAGGGACCTGAAGCCAGAGAACGTGCTGCTGGATGCACACATGAATGCAAAGATAGCAGATTTTGGTATGTGAATGTGCCCAGCAGCATTCCAGAGCTGCCAGAGCGTGGCCAGGGAGCAGCAGAGCCTGGAAATCACACACTCACAAACACTGCCATTCCAATCACCTCAAAATCACACACTCACAAACACTGCCCTTCCAACCACCTGGAAATCACACACTCACAAACACTGCCCTTCCAACCGCCTGGAAATCACACACTCACAAACACTGCCCTTCCAACCGCCTGGAAATCACACACTCACAAACACTGCCCTTCCAACCGCCTGGAAATCACACACTCACAAACACTGCCCTTCCAACCGCCTGGAAATCACACACTCACAAACACTGCCCTTCCAACCGCCTGGAAATCACACACTCACAAACACTGCCCTTCCTGCAGCAGCAGCACAGGGATAACCTGCTGCAGGCTGCTCCTGCAGTGGCACTGAGAATGGAGCAGAGAAGTAATTTGTAAATCTCTGCTGTGTTTTAGTGCAATCACCCGACGTCAAATTTACCCAATTTGTGTTTGAGGCAGGCTGGGTGCAGCTGGTTCAGGGTGAGCTGCTGTGTGTGTTTATTTTTGTGCATGTTCTCCCTCTGTTTGGCCATGTGCTCTTGGCCTCAGCTCATTTTACAACCAGCAGTAACAGGAGTCTCTAAGTGGCATTAGGGGTTGAAATCCATTAAAATACCCGGGCTACCAACTCTGTCCTGGTGAGTCCTTTCTAGCAATGTAAATCCTTCTGAAGATTTACTCATTTCACAGCCCCAGTTGCCATATGAAGTGAGTGCTCTGGGATGAATTATATCTCTTCTCCTCTGTGCTCTGGGATTTGCAACTTAGAGGAGCAAAATTAGCCTGGAGTGAAAATTTCTTGGTTGGATGTAAAAAAAAAACCAACCCAACAAAATAACAAACAACAACAATAATAACAAAAGTAATAATTTTCAAATCAGTTCAGAGAAGTCTATCTAAATTATATCAACAGTTCCCTTCCAGATATCCCACTCCACTTCCCTGCCTTTCCTCTGTGTGACACATGTCACACAGCATGTCTGGACTTTCAGATCAAACATCAGTGTATAATAAGCATTTTGTTTTTTTAGGACTGTCCAACATGATGTCAGATGGTGAATTTCTACGCACCAGCTGTGGTTCCCCAAATTATGCAGCCCCTGAAGTCATCTCTGGAAGGTAAGACATTTGATTTCTCATCAGACTCTATGTGAGCACATGGAGTTTAAATCTGTTCTTGGTATTGGAAACAGCTTTGCACGTCTAGTAAAAGTAGCTGAATCCTTCCAGCCTCGATTTAGTGTTTGGGTGAATCTGTTGGCAAAGATCTGAAGTTTTTCTTGCTTATTTTCCTTCTCAGTAGCTGTAATAGCAAACCGTGTTTTGCTACAGGTGTTTACTTTGGAGGAATTGTTAATACCAGAGGTTGACTGTTTATATTGCTAATTAAAGAGGGTGAAAATGACTCTTTGGATGCAAACACTGAGGTTCCAGGTGGAAAGGCTTTTCCAGGCCACCCCCTCCTCTCCTGCCCACCTGTAATATAAAACACGGTGTTAACGAGGAAAACCATTCACTAACAAAAGGAGCAGGAAGATCTTTAATCCCTTCCCAACCCTGGTAAAGAAAATACTTGTCTTCTGGTTCCTTAAGCTTGGGGTTTTGGCTGTGGCAGTCGGTTCAACCTTCAGAGCTTTGTTTTGAGCTGATTCATTGAATTGACAAACCTCCTCTGTGGTTGCATCTGTACAGCACATGGAGTGCTGGGCACACCCCACAAGGCTGAGTTGGACTTCCAGGTGTTGATACAGAAGTGTTGCCTCCTGTATTTTGCTGTCAGGAGCAGAAATTACATAGAATGTGCATTTTGCCCTAATTCTCTGTGTAATACTTTAGCAAAGATTGCAAATACAGATTTTCAAATTTCCCTCCTGAATGGTCCTTCAAACTGCTCATTATCTGCTCCTTTTTTATTTTGATTTCCCTTTGCCATGAGCTTTACTTTTCCTAATCCAGTGTATTTTTGCCTCTATCTGTAGCTTTTAAATAGAACATTTTGTTCAGAATGTGTTTGCTGTGATTTTGATTATTTTATCCCTCTTTACACCAGAGCAAGTGTTGGCAGAGCATCCTAGGAATTAGACTAGCATCCAAAAACCCTGTTGTGACTACAGCTCTGTGTGTGAAATGAAACCAAGTAAATCCTCATTGTCAAGAAGGGGACAAAGCAAGAAACTGCTGGGATGCCAAAAAATAGTATTTCCATCTCAGTGAAGGCCAGACATGTGTTTTTCAATTTGTATAGGAGACAAGGCACATGGCAGATCAGCAAGGAGGATTTAGTCCTTGAGTGTTCCAAGAGTACAGGCAATGCAGCTTAGTGACAACAAAAGCAAGATGGAAAACCCAAACCAAGCCCACATGTTGCACTTTTTGGCTGGCTGCAGCTGCATCCCTCCCTCACCACCCACTGCAGGCTCAGGGCTGCCTGAGTTTCATGGCCCTGCTCAACGTGCCAAGCTGCCCTCCTCTCTGCTGCCTGCCCTGCTGGAGCACAAAAGCAGTAGAGTGTGGCAGCTCAGGTTTCAGAGCCATTAAAGTGCATCTCATGTGGGCTTAAAGGTCCAAAAAACTGTTCAGGCAGTGTTTTTATCAGTGAAAGAATCAGGTTTCTAATCTGTGGGAGTTGGGTGTGGAGGCAGGGCTGAGGGGCATCGAGCCGAGCCTCTGCCTTTCCAAAATGGCTTTGCTGCTGTCCCTCAGCAGGGAAACTCTCACCCTTGGAGAAGCAGACCAAGTGTTTTGGGGTGTTCAGAGAATGGTCTCCTGCATGACCAGCATGATTTCTCTCTGCAGTGATGCTTTTCAGGAGGAGCAAGTGCAGGATGCCGAGGTTTCATGAAGACACTTGTGTAGCTGCATTTTAACTTCTGTATTTTGGTTGGGCCTCACAGCCCAAGGGCAAGTGTTGCCTCCCAAAATCTCTGGGGTGGCATCAGATGTAGCAAAAAGAGATGAGCAGGAGCAGCAAAGCTCTATTATTTGGGGTGTCCTGAGTTGGTGATGGCAGAGAACACATTTGGCAGCTTGTAGGAAGCAGGAGCATTTAGATACCAGCACACCAAAAATAAACACTCGGAGATAGAATTATCTATTGCTGCTTGATCTGCCTCATTCAATGAACAGAAATTGCTGGGGCAAAGGAGCAAACAGCCTGGCAGGGCTCTTGGAAATGTGAGGTTTGGCTTTTTGGAGAGTTTGGTGGAGGCAGGGTTGTACACAGGAGCGTGGGCAGCCAGTGCCAGCCCTGCGATTCATTTCCCTGAGCACTTTTGGCTGAGGCACATTTGATTTGGGGGGAGCCACGTGAACAGCCCCGGTGTGGGCTGGAGATCTGTCCCTGCTGGAGCTGGCAGGGGTTCCCCCCATCTGCACCCTGATTGAGGAGAGGATGGGGTGACACAGAACCTGCACCCTGACTGAGGAGAGGATGGTGGTGACAGCTTTCTCCTGTCCTCGTCCTCATGCAGGCTCTATGCTGGCCCAGAGGTGGACATCTGGAGCTGTGGTGTCATCCTCTACGCCCTCCTGTGTGGCACCCTGCCTTTTGATGACGAGCACGTCCCCACCCTGTTCAAGAAGATCCGTGGGGGAGTGTTTTACATCCCGGAATACCTCAACCGCTCCGTGGCCACGCTCCTCATGCACATGCTGCAGGTGGACCCCCTCAAGAGAGCCACCATCAAGGACATCAGGTGGGCTGGGCTGGGCTGGGCTGGCTGCCTGTGGGGGTCTCTGGTGGCTGTCCTGAGGGTCTCCTGTTGGCAGGTGAGCAGGGTGGTTTTCAGGAGTACTCAGCTAATCCAGATGGTTTTTGTCCCCAGCAACCCTGCACTCCTTCTGTGCTGGCTGGAAGTGAGTGATGATGAACAGAAGGATGATTTAATATATATTTTATATACAAATATTTAAAATTCTATTTTATTTCATTATAAACTAGCTTTAAAAATCTCTTAACAGCACTTAGCAAAAGCAGCTATACCATGCAATGATCCCAAGAACTTAATGATATCCAACAACCATTTTTCATTTCTATATTTCAGGACCACATCCCTATGGGTACCGGATAAAGGGGATAATCATTGTACTTAATGTATATCCAAAAGAAAAGGAGGAGAAACCCAAGAGTTACTAACTTAATATGTAAATTACATGTAGCTGTGTGCTAAGCATGAACATAAACTGTATTAGGGCTTCCAGAAATTCTCAGGTTTTTAATGCATTTTCAATGGACAGCCTTAATTTTACCCTTCAAGCAAACCCATGCAAACTTCCTTATTTTATTCCTTAATTCCTTAGGATGAGAGGACTTAATTACATGTTAGAGAGGCAGCACATGAGGCAAGATTGTTGTCAATTAATTGAACCTACAGACAAGGCAGTGTGTGAGTTGTAGACACTTAATTATCATTCACGTCATTGTAAATTGGTGAGAATTGGGTATTGGGCATGGGAATTGGGTAGATTTGATGCTTTGTATCAAAAACAAAAAGGGAATATTGGAAGTGTTGAGTGTCATTTCAAACTCAGTATGCAGAGTGCCGTCGGTGTGCCTGTACCGAGCTGGGTTTTGCTCCCCATTCATCAGCTAGGGTTTATTCTTGTCTGGTGGTGTTTTCCCCACCTCCCCTCTCACACCAAGGCTCCCCTCTGCCCTCCCCAGGGAACACGAGTGGTTCAAGGAGGAGCTGCCCAGCTACCTGTTCCCAGAGGACCCTTCCTACGACGCCACGGTCATCGACGACGAGGCGGTGCGCGAGGTGTGCGAGAAGTTCGAGTGCACCGAGTCGGAGGTGATGAACAGCCTGTACAGCGGCGACCCGCAGGACCAGCTGGCCGTGGCCTACCACCTGGTCATCGACAACCGCCGCATCATGAACCAGGCCAGCGAGTTCTACCTGGCCTCCAGCCCCCCCACGGGCTCCTTCATGGACGACAGCGCGCTGCACATCCCGCCAGGCGTGAAGCCGCACCCCGAGCGGATGCCGCCGCTCATCGCCGACAGCCCCAAGGCACGCTGCCCCCTGGACGCCCTCAACACCACAAAGCCAAAGCCCCTGACTGTCAAAAAGGCCAAGTGGCACCTGGGCATCCGCAGCCAGAGCAAGCCCTACGACATTATGGCCGAGGTGTACCGCGCTATGAAGCAGCTGGACTTTGAGTGGAAGGTAGGGAGTGCTGGGGTGGGTTTACAGCATCCTTTATCCCATAAACTCAGGGAGCCTCACCTGTTTCCAGGTTTTTAATGCATTTAATTTTACCCTTAATTTTTACCTGTTTCCAGATAAATGCCCCCACCAGTTTCCAGACAAAGGCCTCACCTGTTTCCAGACAAATGCCTCACCTTTTTTCAGATAAATGCCTCACTTCTTTCCAGATAAATGCCTCACTTCTTTCCAGATAAATGCCTCACCTCTTTCCAGATTGTTGTATTTTTAAGGACTCCCAACAAGGGAAGGAAGGAAGGAATGATGCATCTGATTCTATGTTCTTAAAAGGTTAATTTATTATTTTATGATATTAAATATATAATATTATATGAATATTATTATATACTATATTATTATAATATATAATATATAATATATAATATATAATATATAATATATTTAATATATAATACTATACATTATATTTGGTATAGTATTATATATAATACTATATATATATGAAATAAATATAATATTGTATGTTTAACATATATAATATAAGATATTATATATATGTTAAATATACTTAATATATTATATAAATTTAACATATTATATATGTTAAATATATATAATGTTATATTATAGAATATATATATTAAATATATATAATTTTATATTACAGAATACTATACTAAACTATACTAAAGAATAGAGAAAGGACACAGACAGAATGCTAAAAAGATGATAATGAAAACTCGTGACTCTTTCCAGAGTCCCAACACAGCTGGACTGTGATTGGTCATTAAGTCAAAACAATTCACATGAAACCAATGAAACAATGGCCAGTTGGTAAACAATGTCCAAATGCATTCCAAAGCAGCAAAACACAGGAGAAGCAAATCAGATAATTATTGTTTTAATTTTTCTCTGAGGCTTCTCAGCTTCCCAAGAGCAAAATCCCAGGGAAAGAGATTTTTCCAGAAAATACGACAGTAACACAAGATAAGTACCCCACCTTGGAATCATCCCTGCTATTCCTTGTTAAGGCAAACCCACTGAATTAAGGTGCCAGCTGTGCTTATTTGTGCTTATCTGTGGTGTTTCTTTATGGCGTGAAATAAGGTGCTCCAAGACTTCAGCTGGAAAGATGATTCTGCCTTGTTTAGCTGCAGGGATCAGAGGAGCTGTTCACATTTCTAATTTTAGTGGCTAATTCCTTGCGAGGTCACCTCGAGTGCTCCTGAGCAGAGGAACTCTCATTATTTCTGTCTGGTCCTGTCAGGACAGAAGTGGTACAGTGCAAATTGTCCTAAAGGATGCACAGATGAGGGGCAGGGGAGCCTTGGGTGCAGAATTTGTATCTTTGATGTCGTGGCCTTTCCCTGATGGAGATGGAGCGTGCTCACAGACCAGATGTGTTTTCAGACACTTATTGCTTCTTCAGTTTAGGGCTCAGCTTCTTGATTTAAATCCAGATGTTTTAGCTGGCAGTACTCACTGCAGGTATTTCTCCGGGGCTGTGCAACATTCAGTCGCAGTCCTTTTTAAAGTTGGAATAATAAATCCCTAAGTTAGCCCTGGAGCTCTGCTGCTGTGCCTGACTCCCCAAATCCTGGTGCAGCCCCTGAGGTGAGGTGAGCTCTCCTGGCTCGTGGCCTTTGGCAGCAGCATCATGTGAGCATTGGGAGCCAGGTAGGGAGAATTTCTGCCCAGATCTTCATCACCAGAGGAGCTTTCCTCTTCCCTCCAGGTCCCAAGTGTTGTACTATGTGAATTTCACTATTCTGCTTCTTTAAAACCTCCTGCTTCCTCATTATTTTTGATAATATTACATTTTGAAAACCAACTAGCTTCCAGAAACCCCATTTCCTTGTATCAGGCAGGAGATGGCCCATGGCCAGGTGCATTTGCCCACACCAGCCAGACATTTTTTAGCTGCATGGTTTTAGAGGGAGTGAGCAAACCTGCTGTATTTCTGCTACAGCCTCAAAAACCAACTCAGCCCAACATCTCTGTGTAGGCAGTGCAGCTTATTTCATATGACGAGGTTTCACAATAGCCTCTCCCACCCTAAGAATAACTTCAGATGTGACTCTTCATCAGAATTAACTCTCCCATCCACACAGTTGCTTCATAAATATAGCACAGAGAAAAGATCTCATTGTAAATGAGATGCAGCAGATTGTGAGGTGGGAAGCAGAGAGGGGAAATACTCAGCCTGAGGCTGATCCACAGGCACTGGGTTTGGCTGTGCTGATGGGAGAGGCTGCTCTGATTTCAGAGCTTGCCCTGATTTCATGAGTACTGTCCATGTATGTGGGCCCACGAATGGACTTTTTGGTCCATGTGGCCATGGCTGCTGCTGAGTGGGGAGCAAACATCAGTTTTGTGCCTGGCAGATGGGTCACTGCAGCTTCCTGAGCCAGCAGCTGGTGAATCACAGCCTTAAGAAGAATATTTAAAGATAGGAGAAAACAAGGCCGCTTGCTTCATTTTATAGTGGTTGTCCTTTTGAGAAACTGTTTTTTCCCAGAAGATGTCTTGCTCATATTTAGAAAAAATAAGGGAAGAAGTGTTCCTGTTGGAGTGTCCCTGCTGAGGGCAGGTTTCCCTTGCAGGTGGTGAACGCCTACCACCTGCGGGTGCGCCGCAAGAACCCCGTCACCGGCAACTACGTGAAGATGAGCCTGCAGCTCTACCAGGTGGACAACCGCAGCTATCTGCTGGACTTCAAAAGCATCGATGGTGAGTAGGAGATGGAGAACATGCAGAAAGGCGAGGCTGGAAGTTTAAGAACCATCCTCTGCATTTTGAAGCGCTTACACGTGTGTCATTTCAGCAGGGGCTCTTTCGCGCCTCTCAAACTCTGTTGCTGTTCCTGTTTCATTACCACACCCGCACTGCAGCTGCTGAACTAAACCCGCTTTTTCTCTCTTCTCCCTTTTTTTGTTTCTGGCTTTTCTAGACGAGGTGATGGAGCAGAGGTCTGGCTCCTCCACGCCCCAGCGCTCCTGCTCGGCCGCGGGCTTGCACCGGCCGCGCCTGAGCATCGACGCGGCCGCGGCCACCGAGTGCCAGTCCCTGATGGGCTCCCTGAGCGGCTCCTTCGTGGGCAGCATCCCCTCGCTGCCCCCCCGCCTGGGCAGCCACACCATGGACTTCTTTGAGATGTGTGCCAGCCTCATCATGGCCCTGGCCCGCTGACGGCCCCTCTGCGCACCGTGAGGATCTGCGCCGACTCGTCCGCCCCCTCCTTTCTTTTGCTTCCTTGTTCTTCCTCGTCCTCCTCCCCTCACTGCCCCACAGAGCCAAGTCCAGACCCAAAACATGCTCCCCTCTAGCAGGGCACCAAGGAAATTAACTTCTCTCCTTGTGCCTGGCGAAATGTATCCAATACTCTTTTTTCTTCTTTCCTTGTGACCCCCATGGGAAATGTTAAGGCTGTAAAGTAACAAATATTATCACTGAGTTTTTGGCAAACACCTCCCCCCTGGTTCACCCTGAGCTAATGGAGGCATAGCCACGCTTCCTGCAGCGAGTTTGATGTTCTCCCTGATGCTGTGCAGAGCTGGGCTGAGCCAGGGCAGAGGGGTTGACCAGGAGCCCTGTGAGATGGAGTAGAGGGTGATGAAGCAGCTCTGCAGCGTTCACACCCAGCTGCCAGCCTCTCTCACACTCTTCTCCCCAAAGCAGCAGCTGCTTAGATGCTTCTGCGCTAGTGCAATATGACCTCCCTCCCCTCTCTTCTTTCCTTCTGCTGAAGATGGGCAGGGAAGGTGGGATGTGCAAAGGTCCTGGTGCAAACCTGCCAGTCTTTGCAGAGGAGTGTCCCTAAGGTGCAGTCTTTGTCCCTGTCCACTCCCAGCAGAGGAGTGTCCCTAAGGTGCAATCTTTGCAGAGGAGTGTCCCTAAGGTGTAATCTCTGCAGAGGAGTGTCCCTAAGGTGCTTTATTTTGCCCAAGGGCTCCGGACAGCCCTGCGCTGCTCGCCACGCTCGGAGCTGAAGGCAGATTGCCTTTTTCTCCCCTCCCTGCAGCCTGCTCCCCCTGCCCTGCCTCACCACGGGCTCCAGGGGCTGAATGCCAAGCAGGGCTCAGGTGAGCAGAGGACAGGATCTGGATCACCCCCCTGAGGACCCAGCGCTTCCCCAGGGTTGGGACCATCCCTGATGGGCAGGAGCCGTCAGCAGCGCGCAGCTCCGGAGCACTCACCTCTCACCTCTCCCCTAGGACGCTCTGCCTGTTGTCACCTCCTCAAAATCACTGCCAAATCTGCCTTCCCTGCTGCTGGACGCTCACTGCCCCTGCCCAAGGGCTCTCCTGTCCTGCTGCTGCCCACTGGACTGTGACCTTCGCCGCTCCGCTGACCAGGCAGGGACATCCCAACCCGGAATTTTACTGTTCCTTTGCTACTGGCTATCTGAAGGATGGGTTTTTATTTTTTAAGATGAACTGCGGGGATTTTTAAGGTTAAATTCTTGTTACCCAAGGGTAAACCCTAATGCATGTGTGAATTCTTTGTTTAAAAGAGTTATTATTTTTTATTACACGGGATTAATCTAATGGGCAGCGTTGGCACCTGCTTGGCTTTGACATGGTGTTTAATTCCATTTACTTGATTATGAAGTAATAGTCTAATCAAGGAACAAATGCTTTATGAAAGCTTTGCCAAAAAAATGTTGGGTGGGGGGGTTTGGTTTTGTTCTGTTGTTTTGGTTTTTTTCTTTTTTCTGTTTTAAGAAACAAAGCAAAGAACTTTTGCTGGTCCCAGGTATGCAGTCATTCGACTTGAAAAAAAAATGTAATCTGTCTTTTTGATAGCTTCTTATGACCCCTTGAGGTTTTTTCCTAGGGTTTTCTTTTTTGTACAGTTGCACTTTAATTTATACTTTCTGCAAGTTTGTATGAGAAGCAAGGAAAAGAACAACAAATTAAGCCTTTTTTACTAATCATTTAAGGTAATCAAGACAAACACGGGATATTTTTGCCATCTACTGGCAGTTAAATGGACTTTTTCAGTTCGAAGTCCCTTTTTTTTAAAAAAGAACCACAAAATTGCCTTACTTTTGTTACAGATTGTGCTTGGATCCTCACTAACGTGACTTTACAGTTGCAATTTTTCCAGAAGCCGCACAAAGTAGAAAGCTTCCAAAAAAAAAAAGAAAAAAAAAAAGAAAAAAAAATCAGTTTTGCTCTTGAACACTAAATCCAACACAGCAGTGGTTGGACTGTAAGAAATACTGGAAATATTTGTAGTGCTCCTAGGTTTTGTAATGAGCCTTTTATTACAGGATGATTATTAAATACCTACTCTGGGGTGAGGATGGCTTTGGTGCTGTGCCTGGTGGCTGCCAGGTGATTTGTGTCCCCAGTGCTGTGGTGTGAGTTTGGATGGAGAATCCAAACTCCTGCATGCAAAAATAAAAAAAAAAACAAAAAACCAAACCCCACCCCAGAGTCAAAGCTGAGGAGCACCCAGCCCTTCAGCAGCTTTTGGATCAAGGCTGAGATTTGGGATGATGGGGATGAACCCCTTTGCAAAGGAACAGGAGCAGCTGTAGGGCCAGGCATTAATTTCCATCCAGGAAACAGCAATGAAATGAAGCGAAATGTATTTCAAATGTTAAAGGCTTTTCACATCTTCACTCCCAGCTGAGCATCTTGCCAAGTCCTGGCAGCGCCTGCAGCCCCCTTGATAAGGGGCTGGTGTGTTCCAGTCTGGGCTCAGGAGCAGGTAGATGTACTGATGTCTTTTTTCAAATTGACTCTTGTCCTCTGGGATTTCCTACCCAGCAGAACTAATAGTATTAAGCAGCAGCAAATGCCCCTGGGAGGAAATATTTCCTTCCTGGAGGCGGGTGGGATTTCTAGGCTGTAGAATAAGCCCCTTGTGGCACTTGGCATCTTCTCTGACCCGTGCAAACATTAACTGCTGTGTGGGTCTGCAGAACCAGTCCTGCAGGGCAGTCAGAGTTACTCAGTTTTCCATGTGCAGAGGCACAAAGAGATGAAGCCCTTCCCTGCTCAGGGTCAGCAGAGGCAGAGGAGGGAGCAGGACTGGTGGAAGCACCTCCCCAGTGACCACATTGGACTGACTGGTCCATCACAGCCTTGCCCAAATCCGTGCTGCACTTTGGAACACTCTTGAGTACTTTAACTTTTTAACAATTATTTATTTTACCTTCAAATAGGCTGTGTTGTGTTTCCCAGCTGCAGAGGAGCTGCTGACCTCCAGTTACATTTTCCAGAGGAAGAGTTTAACTTCCACACTGTTACACTGTGGTCAGCTCTTTTTGAGTTATGCTGGTGCATGCACAAGCGTCGGGAAAAGCAGGGTAGACAATATTTGAACTACAGAAACTTGAATTACTCCAAGTGCAATTCTTCAGAAGCCACTGAACAGCTGTGCTTTGCAAGCCACAAGCTCACCCAAATTTTGCTTCAGCCCGAGGGGGGAGAGAGACAAAATGCAAAGGATAAAGGGTTCAGATAGGCTCCAACAGAAACCTCCAGCTCCTGGATGAGTTAATTCAAAAGTATCTTGTGCTGTTCTTGTTGGAAGCTAGATATATGTAAATATTATATATGCATATATATAAAATGTAGGTGGCATCCCTGTCATTGACCTCTCAGCTTTATTCTTCCAGCAGGGCAGGTGTGTGCCCTGGACACTGCCACCCCTCACTAATCCCAGCCTCTGAGAGGACCTGGACAAAGGGAATGCTATTTTTACACCCTCTTTTAGGTAAAGCCCATGAGTAGCTTAGCTCACCCCCTCAGGCTCGGCACGGCCTTGGCCAGGGATGGGAGGGGAAGTGGCATCAGGAGCTGATGGTGAAAATCCTGCCCTGTGAGAATCCTGCCCTTCCACCCCCCTGGCCAAAGCCCTGCTGCTGGCGGGGTTTGGGGCAGGTTTATTTTCAGGAGCTGGAGCTGAGCAGGTAAAGGCAGCAGGATATTTTCTTTTTTTTCCCTTCAACGGGTCAGAAATGCATCTTGAGCTGTGTGTCCAGTTTAGCATTTCACGAGGTGTGTACAAGCACAGGGGAGTCCACGGGCAGTGCTGTAAAAACGTGAACCAGCTGGTTAGCGTGTGCTGCATATACATTTCTGTGCGTGATTATAGTGGCATTCGTGTTGGAATTGATGAGGTTTGAACAAAATAACCCTTCTGTCTACTCCTTTTCATTTCACTGCTCTTTGCTGTCAGCGTGCAGCCCTGCAGGAGGAGGAGGAGGAGGGAGCTGAGTGCAGGACATGAACTCGTGCCTTCGCTGCGCGCCGCGGCTGCTGGAAGTGGCAGCTTTGTTTCACGAGGTGCACAATTTCCCCAGCTCGTGCAGGATCCCCCCTCTGAGACATGCGGGCCGTGTTTCTAAATACTTGAAGTACCATTTGTTGTGCAATTATTTGGCTTCAGCCTTTTATTAGCTGAGAGGAGAGAGGGAAGAAGAATCGCACATCTGGATGAGCCAAGCCAACCCCTGCTCGAGCTCGTGCTGTTCCTTTCCTGGAAAGTTTTAGGGTCTGGTTTTGTTCCAGGTATATGACGGACCTTACTAGAGTCACCTTTCTTAAGGTCTTACTTTGGTATGGGCTTTTCATTTAGTGCTTTCCTTTGGCTTCCTTAGCCCTCCCCTTATATATCCCTTTTTCATCATTTGCTTATAAAAAAAAAAATTGCAACAGCTTCTTGTAATTCTGAGTTCCCAGTCTGCCTCCCGGCCATGGAGTTAATGATTCAGCCAGAGGTACCTCAGTCCCATGCCTGAGAGGTGAACTGGGTTTCAGAGTTCCCACATGACACCTACTGATGGAACACTGACTTTTGCAGAGAGCACACCTGGTATTCGATGCACGGATCTTTTAATTGTCATTTTAATTGTCAAAATTAGGAGAACTAGACTGTGAATCAGAGCTCTACCTGCAAGCACGAGTACACTTTTGGTGTTAGAAAAAGTCTGTTTTCAACAAAAGCCTTGAAGTTCCTGCTGAAGCTGCCTTAATTTAAAAATCAAAGTTTATTTGTAAGACACATCTCTGATAATTTTTTTTTTTCAAGTTTGGAAATAGTTTATTTATCCTCATCTCACAAAGCTGTGAAGTAGATCCTGTAGCCATGGTAATATTTATTCTTGTTGCTGAAAGCATGTTCATGTGTTCTGTATCATGTTATATTCACGTGGTTTGTACCTCAATGCATTTGTTTTGTTTTTTTTTCTTTTAGAGCACAAAGCAAAACTGAATCCCAGGATTTCTGTGGTGTCCTTGGCCCAGCATCTTTGGGCAGACAAACCTCAGCTCTGTCAGAGAGGTAAAACTGGACTTGTCCACTGCAGTTCTTAAATTCATACTCTAAGGAGTATTCATGATTTATAATATAATGTATTTATAATTTTAAGAAAAAGATATTGAACTTTAAAAAGTTCTGAGTAGAAGCATCCCTTCAAACATATCATTAGGATGAATCTCAGAAAAAAAGAAAAACCTGAGCTCAATAAACACTCCATCCTTCTTGATATTTTCTATTTTGTCAACAGAGGGCCTGGAGAGGGTTTTGTTTCCCAATTCATGGCTGTAGTATTTTTGTTATGGAAGGGCACAGAGCCCTGGTTCAGTTCTGTCCTTTGTGCATCAGATAATCACAACGAAGCCTTTTTCCTTCCATTTATGGTGTGGAAAGTGTTTCTCGGTGTACTGCACTGCATGTGATAGCTGTCTCCATGGTTGACATTTGCACTTTAATAAACTCAGAGATGAAAAGAGATAAAAGCAGCAAATCCTTTGGATTTCCTTTCTGCACAGTCCCTTCCTGCAGGCTGGGGTTGGCTGGTGGGGTTTCCCTATGGAGATCCTTGCATATCCCAGCTGTGGGACCACAGGTACCCTTAGGGTTTGGTGGGGGGCAAAGGGGTAAGGGGTTTAGTTAAAATTTCCACATGGGGAATTTAAACATCTTCCCCAACCCAAAATCCATGCCAGGAGCCAGGCCCATGTATTCCCATGTGCTGACTGAGATCTTCACTCCTTACAGCAAGGAATAAAGAGAGGGAAACATAATGTCTTTAAAATAAGACATCATGCAAAAATAACCTTTCACTGCAGAGAAAAGTGCTGGGAACAAAACTGGGCACCTGTTTCCTCTGTGCCTGTGATGCAGGAGGATGTAACACCAGTTCAAGAACACAGCTGCAGGGAGTGCCCCAGATTTGTCCCTAAATTATCCCCTTTTTACACAATTTCAGTTCTCCCTCAGGCTCATCAGCTCACAGCTGTTATCATGATTATTTCCCCTTTGAGGAGAAACGTGGAGGAACAGGGCTCAGCACTCACATGAGAATTATTGTAAGTTTTGATGTGGTTAGGATGTACCAATAAGACTATAAAAGAGGAAAAAAAAAAAAAAAAGGATGAGTTTAATTTCCTGACCAATCTCTTGACCTAAATATAGCCAACCTGTGGTTTAATTGAGGAAATCTAAGTTGCTGTATCTAAAGCATTTTTTGTATTATCTGGAGTCAGCCCATAGCAAGCTCTTTTCTTCTTTGCATGCACTGGAATGTGTCCATGAGGAACAAAAAGCATTTCTAAGGGTATTGCAAGGCATCCCTGCATTAAATCAGCTGCCCCTGGCAGTGCAGAAGTTTGTGTGTCACAGGGATTTGGGCACAACCCCACAACCAACAGGATTGGGGCTGCATCACGTCTGTCACAGGATACAGGGGGAGATTCCTAAAAAAACCCTTCATTTAAAAATAAGAAAAACTTGTTAAATAACTTCCTTGGGAGGCAAAAAAGAGCTTGCACATGTGGCTAATATAGGATTTACCCCTAGTGCTTACAGAGGGAGTGGTGAATGGACTTCATGAGTTGTGAATGAGCGGAGGATGAGGAAGGAGTGGAGGAAGGGGGTGTTTTTTTCAAGGTTTTAATCCTAAAATCACCATGGGGATAAAAAAAACCAAACCTGAGGAGAAACTGTCTCCATCACTTCCCTGGGGCCAATTCCCTGCAAAGGGATGGAGGTGAAGGGCACAGAGCACGTCCCAGCCTGTGCCAAAGCCAAACACACACTCCAGCTCCCCAAACTCTCCCTCTCCACCAGAAAAATCCAAATATTTGGGCTGGCAGGGCTGCAAAGCTGCGCATGCTTACAGGGCAGTGCTTTATTTATTTTTTTTTTGCTGCAAGGATGGATGCAGGCCAATGCACTTAATAGTAACCACATGGTAAAATAAATAAGAATGCCTGTATAGACTTAAAAGTAAATGTTAAATATTTGCTCTGTTTTTTTTACTGATGTCTCCTATGCCAGCTTTGAAATGGCCCTGTGGCAAACAGGGCTTTTATTTTTCTTAAGCCTGGAACATTTAATAATTTCTAATTAAAACATCTTACATTTTTAGGATATTTATGAGCAAACTGATATGGGCTCCTAAAATGTGCCAGGAAGGGGTAAAAGCTGTACACTACAGTCAGATTTAAGGGTTTATTTTCTTTCAAAGCCATGTAAAAACTTTATCCACATTTTTTTTCGCTTTTGAAAAGGTATCTACTGAATATATGGAGGAGAAGCCATTAGCAATTTATATTTCTCTTCCTACATTTAGGAGCATTTTTCTGAAAATAAGTAATCATCCTCCAGGCCCACAGTGGAGAGAGAGCAGCCTGAACACAGGGGCAACTGTTGGGCAATTCCCTGGGAGCCAGGAGTCAGCTTTTACATATCTGGGATGCCTAAGTTAGCTTAAAAAAATAAAGTAATTTTTGACTGAATGCTTTATTTACTCTTTTTTTCATATTATTATTGCAAAGAAATGAGTCAACTTTTCCACTACTTTATATATTTAACACAGCAAGAGTGGTGATACATACTACTGCTCCCAATACTTTTAAGACCAAATCCAGTTCCAGTTTATATGGTTTGCTTTTTAAAGAGCAAATCTTTTGGGGGAACTTGCAGTTCTGACAGAAATGAGATTGAGCCACTAAAGTGCACTATTCTTTTTCTTAAAATGTAGAAATGTAATGGTTATTTCAGAGCTGGTCAACAAGGTACTCCAAAAAGTGAGAAATACTGAAAATAAATAATAACCAGTGAAGTCATGCTCTAAATGGCAGGAAAAATAAAAAGAAAAA